ATCTTCCTATATTTTGGAAAGCAAAGTATGCTCAGTGTAAATTTTCACTTATCTCCTTGACCCTTATAGAAACTCTATCTCTCCTCTAATGCAGATTATTTTGGTTCCTTGGGCTCTTAATAACCCAAATAAGTGAGTCCTTTTTCTCAAGTAAAAATATTTGTAATTTGTTTTACTCCAACAAAATGAAATCAGTAATGTAAACTCCCCAAATTTAGTTTAATACAGCTGCTCTTTTTTCAGAAATTTTCTCAGTTCTGGGAACCAAATTCTAGAATTAAGATCACCTCCCAAGATCATTTTAGAGTCCAAATGCCAGAAATCAAACAAACTAACACTTCTAACCCTGCTGATCAAGGTTGTCCCTGACATCTCCCCTGATTAGGATTGTTAGAGACATCAGGCATACTTGACGATCTCTCAAGATATTACTTATAAGGAAACAAAAATGTTTATGATTCGTTTAGACTGGATAAATAATAAGATAAAAATACATGTTTCATTGCTCAAAAGGTGATCCAAGTGGGGCAGGGCTGGAGGTGAGCCCCGGGGGAAAGGAGTTGGTTGGAAACCATGGATAATTGTAAATGAAGATAGGATAACATAAAAAGAAGTTAAAATTTGGTACTACAAGGAATGCTCTCAGGATGAAATCACTGATTTGAAGAGCAGGTATATTGGCCTACTTTGGTGAGTCACTATACTATAACCAAGGGATATGCCTGTCAGGACAATCAGAATTTTAAACTAGTATGTCAGGGTAACCTTGTCCCTAAACCAAGTTTTCCCAAGAATCACTATTCCAATAATTAAGCTGTTGGTTTCATTCTACAGCTTATCTTAGTCTGAGATAACTGCATATCCAAAAAGTTGCCACAGATTGTTTTAAGGCTGTCTTTCTGAGAGCCCTAAGCTCTCCTTAGTACTTACTAGTGGGTTTCTTCTTTCTCTGGGTAGTAACACTTACTTGGCCTCTGCCATTATCACCTTTCTCTGTGATAGAGAAGGTTGGACAGGAGTCTAAGGCTAGATTGTGAAGAGGGTTGCCTGAAATACAGGGTTGGGACTTGATTATAGTCATTTGTAGGCTCTTGAGCAGTAAAAAGACAGAGTGAAACCAAGGGTTATGAATGACTAGTCTGGCAGTGGTGTGCAAGGTGATTTTCAAAAGAGCGATCCTGAAACTAAGGGAGTATGAAAGACATCTCCAGGAATTACAAACAGTTCAGCAAGGCTAACATGCAAAGTGCATGTGAAAAGTAGGAGGTTATTACAAGTCATCTATGTCTGAGGTAATGAGAGCCAGAACCAAAGAAGCAGCAGTAGGAATGAAGAGGCATGGGAGAGGAAAAAGATCAAGACTTGGTATCAGATTGGATAAAGCTTAGCTGGAACTGGGGCAAAACTGGGAAGAAGTCAGATCACTCCTCCCTTTGCCCTGAGCTTCCCAGATCTATGCTGTCTTCCTCATCTGTAATTTTAACTTCAGTGCCTTCAGATCTCAGATTTCCAATGCCTTCCTACTCTTTTTCTCTTACCCCCATCAACTTTGACCAGCCCCCCTCCCCACCCAGTCTCCTTTCATCTAACTGAGATGATAGGGTCTGGTAAATTTAGGGCTTGACTGTCCTAAAGACCATGTCATTTTTACAGGAATCAAAGCCTGTTAGAAACTCTGCAGAGTAGATTTAAGCATCAGCTAAGATATCAATGGATGGATCATGGTTGGTCCTGGAACCCTAAAGCCATATGATCATTGGTCCTGGAATTCTAAAGCCATATGATCAAGCAGGATGGGCATCACATACAAAAGGTGATAAAAAGGAACCAACAAAGATGACTTTAGGAGTTACTCTCTTATAAGATCTGAAGATTGGTGATCATACTGCCAGAACCAGAAATCTTGTAACTTGCTGTTGTAAAACAAAGGGGGTAAGGCGAAGGAGAGAGACCTGTGAGCGTTAGAAAGTAAGGCAAATTTATATTATAAAATTAACACTTAGTTTAGAAACCACTGTCAAAGAGGGCCTGACCAAGTCTGTATCCTGAGCACAGTTGATACATTCAAAGAGGAATGAAGTGAGTCTTTCTCTTAGATGTTCACCTGAAAGAAACTCAGGAACACCTAGTAGTCTTAAATCAAGCTCTCAAACAACTTATGTCCACGTTCCTCTTCACTGAAGCCAAAGATCTCTTATCCTAATTGCTCTTTTTTTTCCTAGGATCAAAACTAAACCAAGGAAAAAACACATACCTTGATCTTCAAAGATCTACAAAATAGTAAACTGGAAGGAATTCAGAGATCATATAACACAACCTTATTGAATTTCAGATAAGTGAAGAGATCACAAGGAGGAAGTGATTTACTCGAGATTACACAATTAATCATCTACCAGAGCCTGAGATATGATACAGGTCTTGTACATACCAGCCCTACAAACTTTCCATCATGCCCATCTCCAAGCAAAGATTCCCTCTGATTTTGATAAGACATCAATGAAATGATATAGAAAATTGATTAATTGAAATCAACCAATATTCAAAAATCACTGTACTATATACTGCACAAAATACAAAAGGAATAAGACTTATTTATTGCCCTTTAAGCCTAGTGGCACTGAGGTGGGAAGAATGAGGAAGTTTAAATTGAATAACCACAGAGAGGACTATGACACAAAACAGTAAATGAGAATTATCAAGAAAAGTATAAACAAAATATTGAAGGACTTCAAAAAAGAGAAATAGTAAATTGGCTTGAGAGGATCACAGATGGCTTTTTGTTTGACCAGAAACAAAAAAAAAGAAGCACTATTACTATCTTCATTTAGTACAAGAGATCAACCTGGGGACACTTGTAGATCACCAGCTTTACCTGCACCACACTTAGAAAGCACAACAGTGTATAAGTCATTCTCACACATAGGTGATTCTACTGCAGCAACAATAAAGAGCGTTGTGTGTGAAGTGGGACCTTGTATTCTTAGATTATCTCTGGGCTCTCTCATTTACCTCATTCACTGGAGCTTGACCACATTACAGGTTCAGTGAAGGTCAAAGGCTTATGGAAAGAGAATATACACACACACACATATATATATACATATGTACATGTATACATGGACCTAAGATGAGCCAAATAAAAGATCTGAGTAATCACTGAATCAAATAATTGAAATCAAAAGTCATATATCTACACTTTTACTTTATCACCTTACCTTCACCCACCCAATCACCCAGATAAGAACGGTAGAACACAATTTTGAGAGAAGTTGCTGTCAGAGACAAGAGTCCTTAAGGAAACTGAAAAGGAGAGAGGGGCAAGGAGTAAAAGTATTGAGTGCCTGCTATATGCAAAGCTCAGAATTTCTAAAGGAACCATAGAAGACACCTCAGAATCCCAAACTTGAGGAAACACTACACTGCTGCCCAGACAACGCATCATTTACTCACTTGAGCGTGTAAAGAGTAGGCTAAATTGTAATTGCACAGCTACCATGGAAGTGGATAACAAGTACATTACCCTGGTAATATTAAACTTCTCATAAATGGGTGTTAGAAATTCATAAACTTTCTTTCTCTTTCTACATTAGGAAGAAATATAAGTTTTGTCTAAACACAAAACTGTGACGGAGCAAAAGTTAATTTTCTCCATAGATTAAGTTGAGTAGAATCATATAATTTCAGGATTAGAAAGGACTTTTTCATTCAATTTCCAGTCAGTATATCTTCATTAATTTCAGAGACCTAGGAGAAGCTAAACAAAACCAAAAAAAAAAAAAGGTTATCGCCTGAGTAACAAAATATAAAAGCCAACTCTGTTTGAGTAATTCCCCACCTGCAAACCATACTTCACCCAGACCACTAGTAGTAGGTTACTTATGTCAACTTCTTACCTGGAGAAGGAGGGGAAATTCAGAGAAGGAGAAGAGATTGGAGAAGATCTGAGAAATGGTTATCTGAGTACAGGGTAGACTTAAACAGCAATGTTGTAGCTGTAAGTTCAGGTTCCTACTTTTAAAACTGGTCTATGTTTTATAGTTTTGCATTTTCTTTATTTTCCTTCTGATTTCCCTTTTTTTCCAGTAGAGTTCCTTCGGAAAATTCCAGCCTGTTTATACTTTCTATGAATAAACAGGAGGAAGGTGTTAATTTTGTTGGCACTTAGATCACAGATAAATGAAAAGTGCCCTCGCAGGAAAGTGGCTTCTGGGGTCCTCACAGACAGGGATAAAAGTTGCCATAGGGCAACACAAATTGAGAATAAAAGTGTTCAGATTGTTACTATTTCGAGAAAGCCCTTCTTTGCTCATTTCTTGAAGATTTGTTATACTTTGTTAGATTTTCTGATATAGTTTAATTGAAGAGAAGAGACATATACTCATGAAAATTTAACTATACAAACTACAAAACAGTTGACCTCCAAAGATATATAATATATGCCAAATTAGTGATATAAACAATAACTGCTATTATGAGTTTTTAGGGAGAAGAGTCCAAGGTCCTCCAAGCCATCCTTCTTGCAAGGAAAACTGTCCCTAAGCCATCCCAGACAGCTATACTTGATATTTTTAATGTTCTAACTCCTCTTCCTAACAATCTAGATCCTTGGACATAAACTTCCAAATTATTCCCCCCCTTGAACTTTATAACAAACTGTTTAGAAGGTAAAATAGGAAAAATATCATGGTTTCATAGAGAGGTGTATATTTATAATACTGTCTTCATCTTTAGATACGTGCTACATGTACACAGCTATGTGCACACAGCAGCAAACATCTGTGATCACCCCTGGTCTGTATCCAAGCTTCCCCCCTGGGGATGTAAAAAGGAATGGAGAGAAAAGAAGGAATCATGGAATCCAATAACTAACCCTTAATCTGTCAGTAAAGCTTTATGTGCCATCAAACACCCTGGATCTGTTCTTAAGGCTGCTAAACTCTCATGACACTTCTGTACTGCTTCTGAAGTCATTAACTTCCTTGTCAACCTTATAATTTCAGGTTAGGCTTGATCTGAAATTACATCATAAGGAGCACTGACCACTAACCAGGTACACTCGTGAAGGGTACTGCAGTGCCAGAAAGAGGTATGGCTCCATTTTCTAAATCTATCTTTTTTTCCAACTTGAAAATTATCTTAACAAAGTAACTTCTTTCATCATCTGCACTCAAAATTAATTTATGTTTATTGCTTGTTCATACTAATCAACTAACAAACCATTTCTTTTGTGCTAAGATAGCTTTTACCATACTGTATTCTAACTTCTCCACACTTCTGAGCCAGTCCTCTCCCTCACCAGACTATGAGCTGCTTAAAGGCAAAGATGAGGTCTTAGGCATCTCTTTATCCATACAGTGTGGGTCTCATTATTGGGGGATTATAGTAAATTATGTAAAAGTGAATTAAATGATGCTTAAGACAAGCAAAGCCATCATCTGTGAAGTGAGTGGTTTGGACTAAATGATCTCTACACCTCTAAGATTCAACACTTGTTTGAAAGTTTTATAATCTTTTTTTTTTTTTTTTTTTTGGCTGAGGAAGATTAGCCCTGAGCTAACATCTGTGCCAATCTTCCTCTGTTTCGTACATGGGTCACTGCCACAGCATGGCTGCCGACTTGTAGTGTAGGTCCACTCCTGGGAACCAAATCCAGCCCACCAAAGTGGAGCAGGTTGAACGTAACCACTAGGTCATGGGGCTGTCCCCTATAATCTTTGTTTTATGGCCTAATACAGGTCATTGATTTAACTCAGTTATAAATTGACAATTGAACCTAAATATCAAAATTACTAGGAAAGCTTATTTGTGTCTGTAAGGACTGGGAAGTTTATTAATGAGACTAAAGATCATCTGTTTCTTTGTTTTTTATTAATTTTATTTATCCATTTTATTTGGCATCTTTCGTTCAAAGATTTGGGAATTTCAAATTTATTTATAATATTTAACAGACAAAATAAACAAATGATTAATCTGTCAATATATGGGTGTTTTTTAATCTTACAGTTAGCCTTATGATTTAATGCCTTCCTTAATACTTCAGCAAGCTGCTTTACTTAACAGAGCCACTTTAGGCTCTGACGTTGGAAAAGTTTTAAATTATATTGAAATGAAAAGGTAACTCTAAGTGGTTTTGAATGATGAATAATATTTTCAAACGACAAACTTGTTCCATCATTAATTTACTCATTCACTCAATTAACACTTATTGAGGACTTAAGAGCAAGGTACCTATGTGTTAGCCTTGTGTGAGATGCCTTCCTATATTTTAAGCAGATAGTCTATGATAAAAGATAACACATGCCTACAAATCGTCAATCTGCAAGATGGATTTAAAGTCTCCTAGAAGGGAAAGAGGAAGTTAAGGGAAGGCTTGGTCAAGAAGGTGTAATTTGAGCTGAAGGATGGGTAATTTTTGCATAGACATAGATGGAAAAAAGGGCATTTCAGGAAGAAGAAATGCCATGAAAAAAGACAGCCAGGTGGGAAAACATGTAGCACATGTCCCTGGTATAGTAAAATAGTTGTTTCATTGAACTTTGGGTGTGCAAAGGAGAGAGGTGAGAGAGAAGCTAGGAAAGTTCAGTTGCAACTAAACTGTGGAGAGCCTAAATATCAGGTCAAGAAGTCTAGATTTTATTCTGAAGGCACTCAGGGACCATGGAAAGTTTCAGAGCAATGACAGGACGTAATTGGAGGCAACAATGCATGGAAAGTTATTTTGGAAAGAGTTTGTAGCAGGATATAGTGAGGATTGATGGTAGTAGGAAGGACAGATGGTAATTATCTAATACCTTTCAAGTGTAGTTCTTCAAACAAAGGCTATATCAAAAATCTCAACAGCACCATCTAGTGCCTCACAGCATAACACTGCCCAGTTTGGGGAAAACCCAATAAAGTGCTAACAATGAAGGACTAGATTAAGTTTAGGCAGTTTCCCTTTCTTCCACAGTTGCACCTGAGTTCAGAGAACCAATGATGAAAGAGACAGGTAACTGGAAAGCAAATTGAGAAATAACGCAGAGGTTCGGAATAGTGAACTCATTTTTCTCTATGATCTTAGATATCCACTCTCAGAATGATTCTTCTTCCATTTTTTTTTTATCATATACCAAAAGATCTTGGTGAAAAATAATGACATTTTTTAATGAAAGGGAAAAATGGAACAATTAGCCAGGATGGACTGATGGATGAATGACATGTCATCACAGCAAATATAATTGTAAGAAGTAGTAAACCATGGAAATTATATGCCACTCCATAGCTGTCTGTTTCTGTATCCCTGGCACAGAGATGAGATCAGTCGCCTCCATTGCTGCAGTTATTGCATGCTCAAGCAGTATTCCCAGCTTCCAAACCCCAACCCCTCTTTTACCAGGGAGGAAGAGCTGTGTAAAAGGCCAACAAGTCAGACTTCAATCAAAAATTATCCATCATATTATGTATCAATGAGTTGCTCTCACCTTCTTAAAGAATAAAAGAATCTGGAATAACACTAAAGAAATCACCACTTCCACACTATCTCATCCTTAGCTCTCTCGGATCCGAGTTGACTGTTGACTTCCCTGATGTAGCTAAACTAACTAGACCAAGTAACAACCTCTTGCTGTAAGAAAAATGACCATGTATTGTTGAACAGTAGGGCTTTGAGTGTCACTCTAGGAAGAGAACAAGGAGGAACAGCTACAGCAACATCCTCACCCAGAAAGTATATTCCAACTAGTTATAATACATCTTTCCTCGGAGCCTTGACTTATGGTGCAGATTTTAGAAACGTATTTCACCTCTTTGGAACTTTTTTCCTCATTAAAATAACTGTATGGCTTCTAAAGTTTCTCCAGCCTTGGTGTTCTGTGGTACTAAATAGAGTCAACTGTGTTATAGATTGAGATTCTCCCCTAGCAGAGTGAGTTCCGTTAATAACAAATTCAATTATTTTCCCTAGGTATGAGCATCACCCAGCAGATCTTTACCATGAAGCCCTCTTCTTGGGTGAACCAAGCATATTCTCCAAGAGAATTCAATCCTCTTCCAATAGATAGGTAGATAGATAGATAATAGACAGAGATATATTCATATTTATGAAACTACTACATTTAAAGGTTTTCTCAAAAGCTTTAAATTCAAAAACAAACTCACTTAAAAGGAAGATTTACAGAATAGTACTGGAGTAACATGACTTAAAATAAGGCAGAGCTGTTTCCACTAGGACTTAAAGATTAAGACGAAGTCCATCAGGTAAATGTGGATGAAAAGGGAGGGGAAAAAGTTTTCTGGGTACCTGTAGGACCCAAACCCTTCTCCTGGGGGCAAGGTGCACTGGAATCCCCCTTCCTTTCCCCACCACCCTTGCTTCCTGCTGTGGTCAAAAAGCATACATAGTGACCCTATAAAGTGAAACCTTAGTACTTCCTGTGATTTATAGTCTGGTAAAAATTGACGAGATTTTTATGTATATATATTGTAGGTACCAAGCAGACATTACCAGAGAAAGATGGATGGAGTCGGAAATCTGACAGTATCTCCTGCCAGTAATAATACATGCAATGACACTATTGATGACTTCCGCAATCAAGTGTATTCTACCTTGTACTCTATGATCTCCGTTGTGGGCTTCTTTGGCAACAGCTTTGTGCTGTATGTCCTCATCAAAACATATCATGAGAAGTCAGCCTTCCAAGTATACATGATTAATTTAGCAGTTGCAGATCTACTGTGCGTATGTACACTGCCTCTCCGTGTGGTCTATTATGTTCACAAAGGCATTTGGCTCTTTGGTGACTTTTTGTGCCGGCTCAGCACCTATGCCTTGTATGTCAACCTCTATTGTAGCATCTTCTTTATGACAGCAATGAGCTTTTTCCGGTGCATTGCAATTGTTTTCCCAGTCAAGAACATTAATTTGGTTACACAGAAAAAAGCCAGGTTTGTATGTGCTGGCATTTGGATTTTTGTAATTTTGACCAGTTCTCCATTTTTAACAGCCACATCTTACAAAGATGAGAAAAATAATACCAAGTGCTTTGAGCCTCCACAAGACAATCAAGCTAAAAAACATGTTTTGGTCTTGCACTATGTGTCATTGTTTGTTGGATTTATCATTCCTTTTGTTATTATAATTGTCTGTTACACAATGATCATTTTGACTTTACTAAAAAATTCAATGAAGAAAAATCTATCAAGTCGTAAAAAGGCTATAGGAATGATCATAGTTGTGACAGCTGCCTTTTTGATCAGCTTCATGCCATATCATATTCAACGCACCATCCACCTTCATTTTTTACACAATGAAACTAAACCCTGTGATTCTGTCCTTAGAATGCAAAAGTCAGTGGTCATAACCTTGTCTCTGGCTGCATCAAATTGTTGCTTTGACCCTCTCCTATATTTCTTTTCAGGGGGGAATTTTAGGAGAAGGCTGTCTACATTTAGAAAGCATTCTTTGTCCAGCATGACTTATGTATCCAAGAAGAGGGTCTCCTTGCCAGAAAAAGGAGAAGAAATATGTAAAGAATAGTTTAAACCCATCTACATGAATGAAAAGAGTTTCCCAAACAAGTATTTTCTCAAATCATTTACAATAAAAATAAGAATTTCCATTAATAATTTACAAATACTTAACTGAATGTGTGCCTATAAATCTATCTCATTTATTCATCCACATTATTAGAGCTCCCAAAGATATTTTAAGTGTTAAAAATTCAGTCCACAAGGGGCTGGCCCCGTGGCCGAGTGGTTAAGTTCGCGCGCTCCGCTGCAGGCGGCCCAGTGTTTCGTTGGTTCGAATCCTGGGCGCGGACATGGCACTGCTCATCAAACCACGCTGAGGCAGCGTCCCACATGCCACAACTAGAAGAACCCACAACGAAGAATATACAACTATGTACCGGGGGGCTCTGGGGAGAAAAAGGAAAAAAAAATAAAATCTTTGGGGGCTGGCCCCGTGGCCGAGTGGTTAAGTTCGCGCGCTCCGCTGCAGGCGGCCCAGTGTTTCGTTGGTTCGAATCCTGGGCACGGACATGGCACTGCTCATCTAACCACGCTGAGGCAGCATCCCACATGCCACAACTAGAAGGACCCACAACGAAGAATATACAACTATGTACTGGGGGGCTTTGGGGAGAAAAAGGAAAAATAAAAAAAAATCTTTAAAAAAAAAAATTCAGTCCACAGCTATGAACTAAATTCTAAATGGTTTTTTGATCATTCATCAAAAGGTGGAGAATTGTATTGTGTCTTGGCACTATAAAAACAGGTCTGACATCAAGGTTTTCCCCCTCAAATAAAAGTTTTACAAGGATAGGAACTAGCCTTTTAGGATATAAGATTAGCAAATAATTATTAGTCATCCTAACACATGTCTTTGCATGCATGCCATCAGATGAGAACTGAAAGGATCCAGGAGCTACATAAAATATACTGTCACCCTCTTCCTTTGTAGTATTGACTGGCTAGGCAAAGTAGGGCCATTTCTTTCAAAAGAGAGTGTGCAAGTGCTAGAACAGCCTAGTATTCAGCCAAATGGCCCTAAAGTATCCATGCAATGTACAATCTGGAAACTGAGGGAAGATAAACCTGGTCAAGGGCCAGTTTGTGTCTAACTTTCTTCTGCTCCTCTCTCAGGCCCCCAAAAGAGAATGGTGGAGTTTTTGTTCATCAGTGAGGTTCTTATAGGGAATTCTTTCCCTACAAGACATACAATCCTTCCTTAAGAAACCAGACAACTAGCACTCCCCTGTATGTACAGAAGTAATTAAAAATTTATCTAAAGAAGAGTAAAGGGGTCTTCTTTTCTACACACGTATTACTGGGATCAAAATTAACTACAATGGGTTTCTGAATAAAAATTTGAATGTTGATATTATAAATTGTTTTAAGAAGTACTTATATTTGTGCATATATGTACAACTATATGTAAGAGATTTTGCTCTATAATATGCATTTATGAGTGGAAGTTAATTATAAGCTTTATTATTGTTTTATGCTGTTTACTTTTTTTTTGGCATTTTGACAGGAATATCAAGGATATGTTTGCAGTGGTTTTTATATTACAGTGGAAGCTTTGTTCTTAAAACAGCAACAACAACTTGATTATGGCTGAAATATAATATTCATGGGCAAGCTTTTGCCAAAGTATGGTCTGTTTCTTAATTCTGTATTTCAAAAGAGACATTACCTCAAAGGGAATAAATGATAATGATGAAGAAAAAGGATGAAAAGAGAAATTCTGTCTGAATCTGCCACGTGTATGTTATTTCTATTTCACTTCTAATATTGCAATCCCTTAGGAAAAAAACCTCAAACCATAAAGAGAGAGGACCTTTAAGGCATAGCAATAACTGGTGCCCATTTATTTTTGTTTAACATACCTGAGATTTGGCAGTACCTATGGTTTTACCCTACACCATTTTTTCCTTGTAGATCAAACATAATATTTACCATAAAAATCAGTCCTCATTTCGCATTTACTAAGCTTTGTGTTACTCAGTAAGTATGGTGTGGTAGAAGACTACTTTGGAAGCCAAAAGATCTGGATGCTAATCTGGTCTCTGTTGCTTACTAGTGGTGTAACTTAAAAGCAAGTGACATAAACTCTGATCCTCAGCTTTCTCATTTGCAAAACAGGAATAATACTACTTGTCCTGTTGACAGGATATTTTTGAAACTCAAATATGATCATAACATCCATAAATATGTTAAAAGTTTTACCTTAAAATGTACAGTGTGATATAATTTTAAAGTATTTGGAGATAGTTTGTTACTTACACATACTGATTCATATATATTACATGGATTCTCAATTTTGGAAGAATTAGAACAAAATAAGGCCATAGTTAAATTCTATTGCACGTAAAAGAATCGTGTTGCTTACTTATTCCTGCCACCAGGCTTTTGCCTGTGTTCTCACTTCCACTCACAGTCCCACTTCCTCCCACACAGAAACATACTATACTTAATCACCTACAAGCTCATCATGCATTTGTTCTTGTTTAATGTTGTATGTATTTATAACGTATACCACACTATTCAGTACTTAATTTTTTCCAATTTTTTGTTAGTATTTTCTCCCCAAAAGTGGAATCATCACTTTGTAGAATTATCAATTCCTTGAGGTTGTAAATTATGCTTTTAAATCGTGGTATATAACATTTAATGAGCTTTTACTCTGTTTTAAGCGCTTTATCTGTATCAATTCAGTTAATGCTTACAACTGCCCTGTGAGGTAGGTATGATTATTATCCCTGTTTTGCTGATTTAAAAAGTGAGGCACGAGAGGTTAAGTAACTTGCCCAATGTCAGACATCTAGTGAGCATCAGAACCAGGATTCAAATCTAGGTGTTTGACTCCAGAATTCAATTTCTTAATTTGCTATGCTATCCTGCTGGACCATTTTCCACCTTCAAAATATAAGGAATAGAAGCAAGGGCTATTTTAAATGATTTCTTTATTTACCTAGGTTTAATTAAACTACATGCTTGATTTTTTAAATTACATAAACACACGAACCATGACTTAAAGCCTATGATTTTACTTGGAAAAATGTCTTAATATTGTAGGGGCCCTCCGTGGCCGAGTGGTTAAGTTCACACGCTCTGCTTTGGCAGCCGGGGGTTTCACTGGTTTGGATCCTGGGCGCAGACATGGGACCGCTCATCAGGCCATGCTGAGGCAGTGTCCCACATGCCACAACTGGAAGGACCCACAAGTAAAATATACAAGTATGTACTGGGGGGCTTTGGGGATAATAAGGAAACATTTTTTTTTAATTTTTTTAAAAAGAGTTTAAAAAAAATATTGTATACTATCCAAGAACATTGACATTAGAGGGACCTTCATGTTTATAGTTCCTAATGGCTATATAACACCCTTTGGTATTAACTGTGGCCTTCACACACATTGTCCTGATCCCCATGGTCCTTTCAAACCTCGTCAATTATCCAAGTACTCTTTCATAATACACTTATTTTGTTTAGCCAATATGATTTCTGTGTCTCAAAAGATAATTTCAGATTGTAAAGCAACACTTTGTATTTTATTCTTTAGAATAAACGTAAATCGTTTTCTGTATTCATCTCAGACTGTAAACTCTGTTTTTCTTGATTATCAAAATTTCCCGGTTTTTCACTCTAGTGACATGATTTTGCATTTTTAATTAACTTTAAAATGGCTTTTTGAGATAATTAAATATATCTCTCAATTAAATATATCCCTCAATGAACAGGTAGAAAATTCAGAAGCTTGAAAAGTGAGATTTGATCTCAGAGCAATTTAAATTTGTGAGCTCTTTTTAGTAAGCACCACTGCACCGGAGGTAGGAAAAGAAGCTCACTTATTCTATTCTACTTCATGCGCACAACTTGAGTTAGAATGGCTTTGCCTGATACTAAAAAAGCAAAATATTTCTAAGAGGTCAAATTCAAAACATTTTCTTTGATCTATCCTAGAGCTCTGTTACCTCAGATAAATCACAAGACAAATTCTAACTCCTCATTCATTTGTTCATTATTTCTCTGTTCTCTGCATTATATATAATCTCTTTGTATAATCCCCTCCATGATAACTCTACTAAATCACAAGTATATATTTCCATTCTAAATTACAAAAGCATAACTTACATTTTATCAAATAGATTTACATGGAACTTTTGCTCAATAGACATTTAAATTTGTATCCCTCACCACCTGATCTTTAAAGTTTCTATCGATAGCTAGTCAGTTGATCTAGGAAATGTTTTGCATGTCACTAGTACTATCTTGGAAATTTAACACAATTAAATTATCCTTATGGAAAACTGCCCTTTTGGTAAAAATAGTTATATTATTAACTATAAAAGGGAAAAAATTAAGGTTTTCTATTGCCAGTTTCATTGCACTCTAGGTAAACAAAAATGGCCATTTTGTCCCTCTTAAATACTCACAACTGCTTTCGTTTTTGTGTAGTGGATTGTTTTCACCTTGACAATTTGAAAGATTAATGGTCTCTTGAAGACACAGACAGACATGAGAATTAAAGATTAATAAATAATGCCTAACAGCTCATGAAAAACAGTTTTCTTTCTGCAACTTGGGCAAAGAGTAATTCAAATTACTACCTAGTTCTAGTCTCCCTTTTAAAAAACTTCAAACAACTGACAAAGAAAACCAAGAAACTTCATCCCCTCTCACTCTTCCACGTAGTTTTCATTTTTACTGGATAATGGTTGTAGTTCCTCAGCATAACATTTGGCTCTTTCTTCCATCCACAAAAGAAATTTTCATTGTTAAAGTATCACCACAACAACTCTTCTTGGATATCAATTTTTTATTTAAATGTAATGTATTTAAATCTAATTATAAGAGCATTCCAACACAGATGCTGTAGCCCTGTGGGGCTTGATTTCTGACTCTGTGCCTTTTCCCACTATGCCACACTTAGTATTCAGCATAACTGACTTCTTCACTATCTACCATTTCTTCCCCTGTTTTGGAAGGATTCTATCAAAAACCTATATTCTAATTTTGTAAGGATATTGGAAGAAGGCTAAAATTCCTTGATTCAAGGGAATTAGAAGCTGGTGTATTAACAGAAAAATTGAGACTTTTCTCAAGGCTGGAATAATTATGAAGGCTTAATGGGGGTGTTCATACCACTAGAACCTCAGGAAGCATCTTGGAATGCTTGAAAGGAGCAATTTGAGTTGATATTTGCACAGTGTGTACCCAGGAACCCTCAAGGGAGAACACAGATGGAAGCCAGGAGATTCTGGTTGGTTTGTGCAATCTCCTCCCTAATCAACTGTATTCTTCGTGAATCACTCTTAGGATA